AATACATTTGGCAGCAAAGTAATTTGAAAATGAAGAATGAAGTGACCCGTTAGGCAAGTAAATGTTGAAAATGGCCACCACGACTCTCCGTGCAATAATAAAGATTTTGGTCAAAACGTTGCCGCACATTTTGCAATATTTGCGGAGTGATTTGAAGGCATTCATTCACAATTCTGTGTCGCAGGTCTTATAATGATGTTGGCTGAGTAGCATAGATTTTGCTTTTTAAATGACCCCACATAAAGAAATCCAAAGGTGATAAATCTGGCGATCTTGGGGGACATTCAATGGCACCTCTTCTACCAATCCATCGAACTGGAAACATCTGATTTAAATATTTAAAAATACATTTCACCGGTCAAATTGCCAGGTAAGAAAAAAGGACCAACTAAATGATCGCCAAAAATACCAGCCCAAGCATTTAATTTTTGTGACTGCTATGTATGAACCTCATGATAAATTCTGGGATTAGAATCGGACCAATATGGGCAGTTATGGCGATTTACTACGCCATTTAAGAAAAAGGAACATTCGTCGGAAGAGCAAGTGTTGAATAGAAAATGTTCATCGTTTATAATTCGTACACTCATATCTTCACAAAATTGTAATCGCCGATCAAAATCGTCTTCATTAAGTTCTTGTACCAAGTGAATTTTATACTGATAAAAACTATGGGCCTTTAGAATCCGTTGGATAGTACCTGGACTAACACCACACACTGTCTCCAATTTGCGGGTACTTAACATAGGATCTACATAAACTTGCCCTAAAACCCCCACTTCTATTGCCTCGTTCCTTATGGTATTTTCAATGTTGCGTTTTTTATTGGCGACCGACCCAGTTTCCGGAAATTTAGCTATAAATTCTAGAGCATATTTTCGATGCACGTTACTCTTCTCATGTCGCTCACTAAATATTTCTGCTGCTCTATTAGCGCAATGATTGTTTCCGAAAAATATTTCGATAATTTCAACTCTTTCTGCTGTGGAATATACCATGGTTAATTTATGTAATAAAGCGTTACAAGTTATTTTAGCAACAAAGTTTGGTCAAATCAATCGCAAACCATGTACTAAATTCCTATTTAAAATAAGTACGAGATATTTCCTCATCTTTCTTCAAGAAATAACTTTTTTGCCACAAAAAACGCTCCAATACCTATTTGCAACAACAAAATGATAAACAAACCATGGGCGTAGTGAAGAAAAGCATTTACTTATTAAGTAAATTCTTTTAATCAAATTTCTTCTGAAAGTAGTACAAACTAATCTGATGTACCTATTAAAGTCTACTTTAGGCTTTAAATCAATAAATCTTCAAAACTACTGAACTGAAGTACATTAATTTTATATCATTATAAAGGGAATTGAAAGACCTTTAAAATAAGATATCACTTGGCCCTCCTTTCCATTTAAGATTTTAGGGTTGGTGTCTCCCCCGCTCAGGGGGCTGCAAGTGTTAACGTATTTTTGCCAAACTTGTGTTTCCCTCGAAAACAAAATCGACGGGTCTGAGCGTTTTTCCAAAAAAAAACTGAGCTGCCAGTAAATGCGTATGTTTCGTTTTCGATGCGCCACCCTGTATGTCAAGATACGAAAAAACGTTTACTATAAGCTGCAACAAGAAGACATCTCAGGATATACAGTGCTGCTTAAAAAGGTCCCCACTTATTTATTTGAATGGGTCAAGCTAGAAAGCTGAAATTCGAGATAATGCAATCGAAGCACAGCATACTAGATTTTACTGAAATGAAGTAGAAACGATAGTTGAAAATTTACAACAATCGATTATATTAGTATCTTCCGAAATCGCGGAATGACCAGGGCATGCAGAGCGTGCACCGCACAAGGGCGGCATTTTCAAGCAAACGGAAAAAACAAATATCGAAACAATAACGAACCATTTTCATAATTTATATGTCTCATACATTTTTACCATGTGACAATAATGACATCTATTGAGCAATTCGAAAATAAACGCCCCATGGACAGTGCAACATCTCACAAAGCTCATTATTCTCATAATTTGGTTTCATACCTTTACAAAGTTAATGCTTTAAGCAAAATGATGCAAAGCCCCACAATGAACATACAAATCTGTGCAAATTTGTTGGAAAAATTTATTAATAAGTCAACTGAATATCGCACAGATCAGCACTTTGTATTACAAGCGGTATAAGGGCTTTTTCAGAAGCAACGAACCTTTTTGACATATTTCTCCATGAACTCTCTACTCTATAAATTTTAAAGAATTTTGACAATCACAAATACGGCGTACGTAAACGCTAAATGTTCGCCAATGTTGACTTGAATCAGTAGGTGATGTCCAAGTGACGTAACGTACGTCGGATATGGGTAAAACGTAACCCATTCCGCGTGTTTCAGGAGTGTTTTGTATTGGCGTCGCACGTTTTGTGCGTCTGAAGCTGTTTTCGATGTCATTTACTCGATTTGTGCTTGTTTTCATTTGAAGCACGAGTTACTACACAACTGTCGCACTTCACCACATAACACGAAGGCAGTTAAATAATCCAATCTTTGAATTCCCAACTTACTAGTAATCTAGTGATAGTGTGTAGATAATTCAATGATACTCCACAAAAACTAGTTTTCACATAAAAGGCGCTAAAATAACTATCGTCGACTCACCTCACATCTGAGAGTGTGGACTTCACCTATGATTTATATGAGATAAATGTCGAATGAGGTTACCTAACTTTACGTATGCAGTATTTGTGTTTGCCAAAACTTTATAATGCCGCTGTTTATGCACTGTCTGGTATAAACACGCAAAACTAATTCAAAACAGCTTGTTCTCAATATAATGATGCTTGTGCGAGCAAACGCTTAACAAAGCAAGGAAAATGTTTTCGAAATACATCCACATATAATGAATACAGAATTTGAATTTTCAACACAATATGCTCTTATCTCTGAAAACGGAAAGTAAGCTTTTGATGCATCGCAACTACAGTCCTACAACGATAAGCTGGCCCCTATAAAAGTTTCATCATTTCTGTATACTTTAAAGTGGAAAACATGTTTATGGAAAGGCCCAACATCATTTCAATTAAACTTTTGGCATGTCTGTTCCCAGCGGTATCAAACAAATTCAAACTGTATTAAATGTTGCGAAAAAGTATAAGAGACATTCGCGAACATGCAGGTGGATAATGCGTACAGATAGTGGCTAACAATATTTCATTTTTTCAGGGAAAATATACCCAGTACTAAGAAGTGCTTTTCTCCATATGACCTCAGTCTGCGTAGGACCCAGACTCGAAACTGCTCACATGTTTGGGGTGCTGCCGCCCCAACAACACCGTGCTCGATGCTGTTAGAGGAGAGCTTTCATACTGATCCAGGACTCTTCTCCAATGGACAGTCTAGCGACTCCTTTGTACAGGCGGGCCGTCGGCGATCTATCCCGCTTCTACCCCTACGCCAATGGGCTTTGCCCCTCAGAGCTCTCCTCCACGATGCCACCGGGCGATGTGCCTGCCAGATAGAACCGACTGACTTTGTCCCCCCATCCTAACCGTGTCGAACTTAGTACATCCAGAACTAGCCGATACGATCGCTCCTTTGTCCCTAGGGTATCAAGGTTGTGGAACAATCTACATTAGAAGGCTTTTCTCAGTTCTACCAACCTTAGGCGGATCTTAATCGGGGTGCGACTGCTTGGGTGTAAAAAAGGTAGTTGAATACCCACAAAAATGATTTGGTTTGAACGAATCTTGTATACAGTTAGACATAAGCATGAGAGTTTTCTTTTGTACATTTACTTTTCTGTTTTCTAAGTTTTAAACTTTGCTAGTTGAGAATGTATCACAGAAGAACTTTTGACTAATAATGTCGAGGTCGACTTGTCATTTTATTGGAAATACTGAATTTGCACTCGTTAACATAAAATGACATTTTTCGGCACAGAAGATCCTGGATTACTGCAGAATCCTGATTCTCCATCATTATATTTCCCTACTAATTTAGAGGGCGCATAAAGATGAATGAGCTCCGGCAAAAATAAGGACAGTACGGACAGACGTGTATTGTACATAATTGGCAATTACCTAAAAAATTTCCGGCTCACATCGCCGAAAAAAACGTGCATTGTGATTGGTGATAGTATTAAAATGATCGATAATGCGGTTTGTTAGCAAAGCTGGTGTTTTAGTTCAGGAAGTATCTTCGCATCTGCTCGGAAAATATTCCGATTCAGCTTGTCTGCATTAGATTATCTAAAAAGAGCGCTCTTAACAGATCTGCATGTTGCCATGCCTAAAGTTGCGTAAAAAGTTTTGTAAAGAATATTATTTAAGCACATTCCGAAAAACGTTTTTTTGCCCTAAACATTTTTGATTGACTTTTTTATAAAGTTGTTAGTTTTAGAGATTTTGTTTCAAAAACAAAATTTAAGAACGAAGACTTCGATGTTGCCAAAGATCCTACATCTTCTTCAAACATCCCTTACCAAAATTCCAAAACATTTTATCCGCTTTTTTAATCAAACTATGCAAAAGACTGAATTCAAAATGGAGCAGATGCGAGGATGACTTCTATACTATTTTTAAGAATGTGAATTCTTTAGTCTGTTTTCGCGATGTTATGTTGAAGGTATTTGCTTTCCGTCTGTGTAACCTACCGTACACGGTGCCGTTTTATCCTTGTTATCATCAGTATGATATAGGTCACCTTGCCCATAATAGTGAGGACACCGTTTTGTGGTAATGATCGATGAATAAATGAAACATGAAATTAGTCGTAAATATGGAAATTATTAAGAAGCTGTACAGTGCAAAACTTGATTGGAAAACCAATAAATTAAAACGTGTTGTAGAATGCCCAACAAACCAAATCCGAGTTAACCATTTTTATGTATTCGTTGAAGATAAATATCCCTAAGCGACATGGGTTAGACGTTAACTTGGTGAAGAAATCCAACACACTTGCCCTTTCAGGTCACCTTCCCAGCACAGTTAGCAGCTCGAAAAATAAATATACTCACAGATGCTTGCACCTGCTATTATTTCGTTCATAGAATCTTCTGTACACATCACAACAGGGATCCTGACATGGCCTGTGGAACACGACACACAATTTTACCAAACGTTTCACAGTGATATTTTGCTCCACAATTTCAGTGACACAACATAAGTAGCAATAAAGTGTTATATACTATTTTTTTGTTAGCGTAAGCACATAAAACAGTGGTCGCCAGCCCGTCGATCGCGTGCTACTGGTAGCTCGCGAAGGGCAATTCTGGTGGCTCACAACATATTTTAAACCAGTTTTAGAATCCTTAGAAGCTTCCCTAAGTTTTGTAGATTCTGATAGCAAACACAAGCAGGGGTAACACTGTGGTGAGCGATCTGTTCGAGAACGATCTCGATTGCTTTGAACGGAATAAATACGCAAGGCGCGGAGGCAGTGTTCATCATGATGGTTCTTAGTGACTTTACGATTAACGAAGATTTCTTAAAGTTTATTCCACTAAAAGGACAGACTACTAGGAAGCACTTGTTTTCTTCTTTTAAAAATATTATTTCTTCAGAGAAAATTCCAATATCGAAGATGGTAGGCTTGACAACCAATAGATCTCCAGTTATGGTGGGTCGTTGTAAGGGTCTCGTGGGGTTATGCCGTAAAGATGAAAGTTTTCTCTGTTACCACTGCATTATCCATCAGCAAGCATTATGTGGACATTTTCTAAAACTAAGCAACGTTATAAAATTGGTAGTAAAAATTGTGAACAAGACTATAGCTCAAGTGTTGCAAAGAAATTCAATTTTCAAACAACGTGATGAACCGATTTCGGAACTGGAAAATTCAATCTTGGTTAAAGATTTGGGTTTTCTTGTGGATATTACAGGAAAATTAAATGAACTCAATTTGCAGCTTCAGGGGAGAGACAAAGAACTAGCAGAAATGATCCTTGATAAGCTTGAGTTTTGGGAATAAATCGATGGCGATACCAGGCATTTTCCTGTTCTTTCAGAAAAGATATCTCAAAGTCTATTAGAACCATATGACAGTAGATATCAGGTAGAAATAGTCTCTAACTTGAAGGATAACATCAAAAATCGTTTCAGGGATTTCAGCGAAATTGCTACAGTCGCGCAGTTTGTTGTTTCATCCTTCATGGAAATTGATATCGAATAGTTTGCAACTTATGTTACGCAGAATTTTAGCGAAGACATCGCGTTTCAAAATGATTTAGCTTTAAAATCATTAGTCTCAAATACAAAATGTATCTGACCTTCAGTGATATATAAATATGCAGTTTTATGTCATGTTACCATGAAAATGAAAGCGTTATTTAGTTCAACCTAGTTGTGTGAATCTTGTTTTTCAAATATGAAGTTTATTAAAAACAAATACCGTAATCGAATTACAGACGAACATTAAACAAATTGTCATTGAGTCTGTGTGTTAGGCTTTCCATTGAACAGGCATTTTTTATATGGAAATGTTTTTGTTTGAAATAGTGCTTTGCTTTCTGTATTTTTAGTTACCTTAATTAAATCGTATGTGACATGCCATTGTAGCTGACGAAAAATTTTGTTTATTTTTCGAACACCACGATTGGAATGGATGTACGTATATACTTCGTATAATTATTAGTTTATCTTTATTAGTATGTGTATCTGTAACTGTGTATAATTTCATTTAAGCTGGCTCACATTGCTTATGACTAGGTAGCTGACTGTTTACTCCAAAATTATCAAAGTAGCTCAACACACTGAAAAGGTTGGCGACCACTGACATAAAACGTACGCAACTTGAAGAAAAAGGATCCCTCACTCAACAGAAGTCTTCCAAACATTAGTCTCTTTAGCTTGAGATCATGTTATTTATCAAAATAATGTAATCAAGCATTTGAGTGTTAAGCTTTTGTTAGGAACAAGGTACAGTCAAGTTTAAAAATTGGGATAGTAGCGTGATGTTTCACACGCAAGTGATCGCAGCGAGTATACACCTTTTCACTAGTATCCGTCACGTGAAACGTGAACAACTAGAGGTTCATTATCTAGTAACGTTTGAAAATAACTCATATCATACAATTCTTACGGATCTGTCAACCTTAGATCTGTAGACAGGCTATTTTGTTGTTGTATTTCGTTGCAAATTCGTACTTTCTTAAAACGTTTTTATTTGCTTTATGATACTACCCATTCAGACTCCCCTTTCGTGGCTGCTTATGTATATAAGGCTATCCACACTAGACACCACATCCTCGTTGTCGGATAGTCCTTTAAATAATAAATAAGCTCCCCAGATCAGAGCGCTGCTACACGAAACAATATATTACAGATGAAAGCAACCGCAGCAGCGTATACACACACGTCCACATCAGAAGTGGGATAAACAAGAAGACAAAGCTCACCGGCTTCTTTGGGTAGCTGCACCATACGTGAATGAGTGCATAGAAAAGCATTTCTTCCTTTGGCTCCCTTGTTGTTTCGTTTGTAGGTTTCTATTTTGTGAATACCTGTTTTAGCAAGCTTAAGCTTGAAGTGGAACACAGCAATATGGAGCCACCAGTAAAATGAAAAATATCTTACCTAGCTCCATGAATTTACTTATTTTAACGTTTTGTCCAAGATTTTGTCCTAAGTCAGAAGTTATATAAAGAGAAGAGGACAAATCTCATAGGCGTCTTTGAATAGCTGCATCATACGTAACAGCTGAGACAAATTTCCAAAGACGACGTTATGGTATTACATTTTATGGACGCGGGAATATAGCTTTAGGTTAGCTATCTTCAGATAGGATATGTTAATCAACGATAGTAGGTAACTCACCCTCTGCCTCTATCCCTGTCCCTATAATAATCATCTCTGCCGCCGCCAGTTTCTCCATAGTCCCATCCATTGGCGTACCCCCTGCCATATCCACCACCACCAGAGATACCATAATCAGGTCTGCCGACACCGGCAGCAAAATAGTACCCTCGCCCGGCGCCGTCAAACCCAGAGCTGCCTCTATAGGTCTCATCTAAAGGCCTGTACCCACCCACACCAGTTTCTCTGTAGTCGTAACCGCGATTATCGTAGCCTACTCCCCTTTCCGGATACCTGGAATATAGATGCGATTATTACTGATTTTTCGAATCAGTGAGATCATAAAGGCGAGCGCACACTGCGGTTTTGCCACGAACGGTTACGCTGGGTGTCTCATAAAACGGGCCGCTGCGTGCATTTGTGGGAAAGTGAGCAGCACCATAGGCATTCTGCTATTATTACATGAATGTTAATTCATAATTATGTAGGTAGAGAGCTGAGTTGATTATATGTTTATTTGACTCCAAAAAGTTGACCACAATTATTTGTAAGTGGTAGCATGGATTGAGGAATTCTATCTGAAAATAAAATAGAAATAGAACACCATAGCGTCATCCATGAGAATTTGTCACAGCCATGTTTCTCCTCTTCGCAATAATGGGAAGTCTACTTTGAAAAGACAAACATGGCTGTGAGAAGTTATCTTAGATGACGCTATCATTCCATCTCGGATGATTCTTCGAACACGCGAATATAGACTAGGTTTTCCATCTTCGGTGGTTACAGCTATTCAGTACATAGATTACAAAAAAAACCAATGATGATTATATATTTTACCTGAACCTTTGGGTAAAGCAGATACAGACATCTTACAAAGTTCGAAGCTCGATTTTATACAAAAACGGACTATAAAACAACCATACGAGGTTTGTTCAGAAAGTATTGCAAATTTCATGTTTGTTCAAGAATTATTTATATATTCAGACATTATATACTTGTGATAACGTTTTTTCCAATCTTCGAAGCATTTTTTTATCTTGTTTAGCTCCTCCTTCGATGCCGTCTGTATCTCCTCAATCATGCCGTAGCGTCGTCCTTTCATGGGCCTCTTCAGTTTCGGGAACAAAAAAAGTCACATGGGGCCAGGTCTCGGGAATACGGTGGGTGAGACTGTTGTCTCTGGCCAAAAATTCGCGCACAAGTAACGATGCATGAGCAGGGGCGTTATCATGGTGCAAAAGCCAACTTTTGTTCTTCCACAAATCCGAGCGTTTCTGGCGGATTGCTTTTCACAAATTGCGGATTACTTGAAGGTAATAGTCCTTATTGACCGTTCTACCCTGCGGCAAGAACTCATCAATGTTTTCGTCTGTTGTTGACGTGTTCCGGCGTCCGGAACGCTTTTCGTCGGTCACATCTTCTCGGCCCTCTGAGAACATTTTGTACCACCGACAAACGTTGCTTTTGTCCAAAGTAGCTTCGCACTATGCTACAGTCAACATTTGGAATATGTCCGCGCACTTCAAGTTGTTTTTTACACAAAATTTAATACAAATCCTTTGATCCATTTTTTGGAATAGACCAAAATCGGAGACAAGCACATTCAAAATGGCCGATATTGTCAACATTAGTGAGGGTCATAAGTAAGAAAATAGCGCCACAAAAAAATCGAAAATCGAACATACGTAACCTGCGACAATTCAAAATTTGCGATAATTTTTTAACAAACGTCGTATTGCTAACAAATTCTGAACATTCGTGTCAGCACCATTACCATATATTGCAGTGATTTGTTTTTGTCCAGTCACAATTTTGCGTGAATAAATTAAGTTTTGTTGCTTCTCCCGACAGAGATCCTTGGTTTGTTTTCTTATCTACCATCTGTAGCATTTGAATAATAGCAAAAGTAAGATATGGGTACGCTGTACCCATTTTGCCATTGCCCTTAACTTTCTTCTATATCTTCTACCAAGACCATCGATTAAACTCGTCTGATTTATATGACTATTATATACTAAGTGACATATAAATCCGAACACCCAGTTTATATGGTTTTATTTTAATAAAATTTTGTATAAGTACTTAATGAAGCATAATAAGTAAATGATAAAAATTTCAAAATGATTGCACTGCTTTAAAGCCCTTTGACCTTTAATAATGTGTGGATGCACCCTGATGTGCTACGCATTCGCCAACGCGCCTAGGCATGCTTCTGATCAGGTGGTCAATGTCCTCCTGCGGTATCTCATTCCAGGCAACCACCAACTCCTCTCGAAGTGCTTCTAGAGTCTGAGGAGGACGTTGCAAATTGAGCAATCTCCTACCCATCATATCCCACACGTGCTCAATTGGGCATAAGTCGGGAGATCTTGGTGGCCATGGTAACAATGTGACATCATTATGTTGAAAGAAGTCTATTGTGACTCTTGCAACATGTGGTCGGGCATTATCTTGTTGGAAAGATGGATCTGCCAGGGTGTCAAGATGGGGTAAAAGATGGGGTTCTAGAACTTCGTGGATATAACGCTGCGCGTTCACGTTACCTCTGATGAAGATTAAAGGTGATCTGGAACCATAAGCTATAGCACCCCAAACCATAACTCCAACACTGTGATGAACATGTCTTTCAACAAAAAACTGTGGATTCCTCCTTTGACCACGTCGCCTTCTAACCCTGGCACAACCATCGTGCATGCCTGAACAAAATCGAAACTCGTCACTAAAGACAATACTCTTCCATTCCTGATCCCAGAGTGACCGTTGTCTGCCCCACTCAAGGCGATTACGTCGGTGTTCTCGAGTTAAAGGGAGGACCCAGTGTGGCCGGTATGAAAACAAGCCAAAACTTCTCATTCGTCGGTAAACACTTTGCATGCCAATAGGTCTTCCGTGTTCTTCAAACCATTCATTTGCAATGGACCTGGTAGTGGAGAAACGGTCCCTTAAGGCCAATAATCTTAGCCGGCGATCTTCACGGTCTGTTGTTCTACGGCGGCGTCCAGTGCCCCTTGCTCTTTGCGTACGGCCTTCTCGAAGCCATGCCTGATAACACCTAACCACAGTGTCTACACTTCTTTGCACTCTAACTGCAATTGCCCGAAAAGAAAGTCCAGCTTCCCGAAGTCCCACTATACGACCCCTATCAAACTCACTAAGTTGACGAAATCGTACAGGTCTCCGTACTCTAGGCATCGTAACCGATCGTAAAGGAGTCAAGAACCAAAATCCGCCAACGTTGATTCTTTACTGCGGCTGAAATATTCATTTTTAGAGCGTTAGTGAATTAAAAAAAAGCACTATAAAAACCGGAATGTGAAACTGATAAGGCTGGAAATTTTTTCACTTGTTATTTACAGTAAGATAAATACACTCACCAACTTTTATTAAAATAAAACCATTTGGGTGTTCAGATTTATATGTCACTTAGTATATTTCGCTAAACATAGAAAAAGTATCTTAAACAACTCATCATATTATTAAACGGGATTGATCAGCATTTTTCATCTTTTTCAACTTACCGCCTGCTCGAATCTTGGTGAAAACCTATCATTTTTTTATATACAGAAGCAGCCGCTCAGGGAAGAGCCTAAGCACCAAGGTACCGCAGCTGCTATGAGCTTAAAGAAACTTTGTCAATCCGATTTTTGAACTGCCTAAGCTTAGTAGAACTGGAGGCTCATTGGCATAGTGGTAGCAGATAGCTAGATCACCGACGGTCCGTTGGTGAGAAAGGGTCCCGAGACGATCCGTTAGAGAAGTGTCATCGATCCATCGGACAGCCTTCCTCTCAACGGCTTTAAGTATTTCCAATGTAGTCACAGCAACAGCATTCCAAATATGGGAGCAGTACTCGAGGCTAGATCCTATCTGGGCCTTGTATAGGGTGAAGTCATGTGGAGAAAGGTACTTCTTATCCTTGAACAAATAGCCTAGCTTTTTTCCAGCAGCGGACGCTATTGACGAGATGTGCATGCCAGATCTAGTCCTCTGTGATCTGGACTCTAACCAGACGAAATGAACGACTCTTTGTTAGAACTCGGTCATCCATCGAAACCGATTCAACGGTGGTGTAAAATACAGGGCTGTGATTTGGAAGCATTAAACTGTATCGGATTCTGCGTCCCCAAGCAGGCCTTTCGTCAGTGAGGAAGTCGCTGCCAGTCTTCTTTTCTCCAGCTCACCGGCAGAGATCAGCTTGTCACTCCCTGAACGTAGACTGCTGTCAGCAGCAACGCTGTGGCTCGGATTGATCGTACAGAAAAGAAGGTCATTGATGTCAAGTCATCGTTAGTTGTCAGAGCGGTCCGTGATACCTTAACTCTTGAGTCACAGTGTCAGTTTGTAAGTCTGTCAGGTCTGGTAACCCAGAAACCAGACAATTTTAAGGAAAAAAGGGAAAGAAAGGAGAGAAAGAAGAACGAGAGCAAAGGGAAAGAAAAGAATCTTTTAGGATAAGCAGCGTTTAGGCATTGTTAAAATTACTTCACAGATTTTGATATGGTCTAAAAATATTCGATTTTCTTCTAAAGATTTTATCAAAATGCTCCAATTTTTGTTGTTCTAAGTTCACGAATTAATTTTGATTACAGTGCGAGCCGCGACCTTTTGTGCTTGCGAACTTGTTTGACTGTGTAGTCCACTGACTCACGCAACAGACGGTTGCTGTGCGATTCCGCTAGGCTATAGCGCCGCTGCGCCTGTTGCCTAATGTAGTCCTTTAGGGAAGGGACATCGAGGTCTCTATGTAGAGTTTCGTTAGAGTTATACCATGGGGCGTCAGCAAGAGTGCGCAACGTCCTGCTTTGCAGAACCTGCAGATTTCGCCTGTGTGTTTTAGCAATCAAACGCCAAGCCGCACATGCGTAAGTCATTGCTGGTCTTATGACCACCTTAGAGAGTCAAATCTTGTTAATCAAACTTAATTTTGAACGTTTACATAATAATCGGTAAAGCTGTCGAAACGTAATTTGGAATTTAGTTTTTAGCGCTTCTATATGGTTTCGTCAAGTCATCCCTTTGTCCAGAATTACACCGAGATACTTAGCGGAGGATTCCCATGGTATTCGAAGTCCATTCATTGAAACTTTTGTACAGTAGATTAGCCACCGGATCGCCCAATCTAATACTTCCTCCACCGCACTTTGCAGCCTGTCATCAGCATAGAGATAGACTTCAAAGTTGATGGGGCTAGGTACGTCATGGATGTACAGTGAGTAAAGGATAGGTCCAAGGACCGTATCCTAAGGGACGCTGGCTGTAATCAGCCGTGTTGTCGACAGGACATTGTTAACTTTGATCCGAAATTTCCTACCTTCAAGGAAGGATTTCAGTAATTTTAGAAGCCAAAGAGGAAAGCCCTTTTGGATTAGTTTACACAGGAGGCCCGCGTGCCACACCTTGCAAAATGCTTTTGTGACGTCCAAAAGCAAGATGCCAGTACTTTCGTTAAGGGTGAGGTCATTGTTGTGTGAGAGGAATAAGAGCCAAAACCAATCCCTATGGAACACCCGCATTGACATTGTGGGATGAAGATGAGAACCCGTCAATTACGACGGATATCCTGCGGCCAGAGAAAATGTCAGTTAACCATCTGCAAAGCTTCTCTGGGGTGTCATAGGATGGAAGTTTGCATTCTTCTCACCATAAGTCTGGATGAGTTTACTCCACAGTTGCGTGACGTAAGCTAGAAGGACCCTCGCAGATCGCTGGTGCTGGAAGCGATAAAGCTTATATCTAGATTAACAAAGATGACATCCCTTGCACTACTGCGCAATCAGAAGAGATCTATGAAAATCGAATGAGAATCGATAATATTCGCAAGCTAGTAGATTACTACAAAGATTCTGCTACTCATTGGTCGTAAGAATGAAAGATAACTGGTACACGAAGACTGTAATATGGTTAGCTAGCAGTTTGAGGTACGTCATCACATGTTACCGTACCTAAGTGGTAAAAGCGTTTTGATAGTTGCGTCGAGTTCCAAGAGTGAAAAGTTTCTCCCTCAGTTTTTTGGACTGTCGCTTGAAAGTCAGACATTTCCAGTTCATCATATTAATGATGTGTAGGCTCCAAGTTAGCACGATTTACTCTAATCATATTAAACAAAAATACCCCTGTTAGCGAAATAACTGTCAACACTTTCGATTGAATCCGAAAAAGCACGTTTTCTCGTTTTTTGTTGTCGAATAAAAAGTTTTCCCACAAAAATTGGTGTACTCATTTTATGCGTCAAAGTTTTAAATACCCCCTTGAACAACTTGCACCAATAAAACCAGACTTTACAATTATTTCGGAGAAATTTGCTGATATGATTGGACTAATAGACAAATCCTGATCTTGAGGATTTTATGTTCTTACCTGTCATAGCGATCGTACCGCTCTGAAGGTTCGTATCTATCATAATCGCCATATCTATCATATGCATCACCACCTCTGCCTCCGCCACCGTATCTGTCATAATATTTGTCATCGTATCGGTCCCTACCACCTCCATATCTACTTCTTGGTGGCAAGTATCCGTCTCTCTCAGGATATCTATCATATCTGAAAAAGAATTTTATTCATAACAAAGGTGGAATAGAAAAATTAAAATTTTGACGGAATTACGAATACGTGCTACCACTATGAGATTATCCTGCATCCAGGTTTATACATAAGCATTGTATGCATCTCAACTATTTTGTCTTTGTAATATATCATCAGAGGTAGTTTTTGAAGAAAGGAGGGGTCGATTCAAATTGCAAGTTCATCTGTCAGGAACTGAACAGGTCCAGGTGTCACTTACTATACAATAAATTTCTCCAATATGTTTCATACTGACCATCAAATCAAATCAATGTCAACTATTATTCTACTTTCTGAAATTGCAAAAAAGACAATGAAGATAATCTGACAAGACTGACGTTCAGGGGCGGCTGGCCCTTAAGTTCTGCAGAGTTGCAAAACTGCCAAAACTATTGTCTTAACAGAAAAAGGCAGTAGTAATTTGGTCATTTTTTATTTTCCATGTTATCACACAAATAGAAACAGTAACGGCCTGCCCCCGCAAGACACGGCGTCGAGTCTGTTTTGTACTGAGATAGCATTATAATCGACCAATTGTGTACTTTTCATTTTCGTCGCGACCGCAGCGTAACATTATTCATGGGCCACTTGAAAAGGGTCTGTGCATTACTTCGACACAAGCCGCACGCGCTTGTTTTTGTCTCTCTCTACAAAATCAAATGCGCGATTTAAGCATAAGCATGTGCTGCAGTTTAGGTATTTTGGGTCTTACGTTGAGTGACTAGTGACTCACTGACTGACTGTGGCTGTGTAGAAGTGTAGTACAAGACAATGGATGTGGTTTACAGACGTATCAGCATGAAACGATTCTGGAAATACACATTTGAAGAAAAATTGAGCTGAAGGTGTCAGGTCGACCGCTGCCGGAAATATTTATAGAAACACAGAGCGTTAGTCGGGGCAAGGGCTATACGCGGTATTTCAGCACGGATATTTACACCAGAAATGACTGGATTTGTGGGTACAACAGGAAGAATGCCCTTTTCTGATTTCCTTGCATACTTTTCGGCGGTGACAAAGCTTGGATGGAGGTAAATCTTACAGATTAGTGCACCTGAGAGAAAAAATTAAGAAGCATGAAAACTCTAAAACCCATCTTCATAATTGGATGGAATTGGCATTATTGGGGACTGTTAACATCAGAGCTCAGTTATATTCAGCATATTGGAGAAATACACAACAGCATAATGATACCGTTACAAAAACAGGTACGTTCTATCAAAAATAATCGATTGTATAAATTTTTGGGGAGCATTTTAATTGGCGCTACGGGGCCACGACGAAACCGAGAGCTCCCAAAACCCGGAATTATTTCGTGGACTGATTAATTTTTCTGCTGAGTTTGATGCAACCTTAAGCGAACACATAAAAAATGCTTCAATATTTAAAGGAACTTCGAAAGAAATACAAAACGATCTACTGAATTATATTCTTGAAGTTTGTCATGTAGAAATAGTAAAACAGATTAACAGAGCCTCGATTTGGCGATAATGACAGATGAAACAACGGACATTTCGGGGAAAACCAATTTTCAGATACGTATTTAACGGCGAACCAGTTAGAACGTTTTAGGAATTATATGAATCCCGAAAAATGTGACGCTGATACTCTCACAAGACATATTTTGGGCGTCGTAGATCCATTAACAGCAAATTTACCTAAAAAACTGATTTCACAAAGCTATGATGGAGCCGCGGTAATGAGCGGACATAATGCTAGAGTACGGGCAAAAATTCAACAAAGATATTCATTTGCTCACTATGTGCATTCTATGCGCATCAGTTAAACCTGATTATGTCCCAAGCTGCTTCCGCAAATGCTCAAGTTAGGGTGTTCTTTGGGGCTTTGAAAGATATTCCGGGATGTTTTAATATTTCCCCTCATCGCGTAGAGGTACTGAACAGAATTGTGGGGAAAAATTCCCCAAAGAGCAACAACTCGTTGGAATTATAATATTCGAACAATAGATGTAGTGTTTGAGAACAGAGAATCACTCAATGAATGCATGGAAGAAATAGAACAAAATTTCACTAATGAAACCGTTTGCAAGGCAGCTTGCGGAATTCGTCGTATGTTAAGCGATTCTGTTTTCGTGTTTTGGTTGACAGATTAAGAGTTTCACATTGAGACGAAGCTTTTTAATGGTAACTCTATGAAATATTTATACTCAGCTCCCAGAAAGTATATTCTGAGATTCGTAAAGTTAAATGAAACTCTAGTCGCTTTTGAACCCAAAGGATATATTATTATTCGTAATAGTACAAATCGGTACTCTTATTACGCAACGGCAAAGTGACAGGGATATCGATCTGTTTGACAGAATTGTCACACTGGAACTAGGTACCGCTTCGTATTCACTTTCAGTAGCTGAGTGGGTCGCCTGTATGTCAAGTTCCTTGAGCTATGTGCTGTGGATCAGATCTGATGTTACATTTGCCCAAAGCTAAGTTGCATACTATAGTCAGACGGAAACACCGCAGTGCCGATACGAAGTCGGTTAAATGGAGCCACAGTCGCGCATTCAGGCAACTAAGAGAATGGCACTTAAAAAGCAGTTCCGAGTACTTCCAGAGACGAAGTGAACCGAATTTTATAAAATCGTTTCTAGTTTCTTATTTGATATGAAGCTTCAAAAAGAAAAGTAAATTAACATTGCCACTCTTTCTCTCCTACGTGATGCCATAATTGCAATTTCAATATAACGTTTCGTCTCTTATCGACAATCACAACTTCATTTTTTCTTATAGACGCCATATTGAATTTTTATACAGGTGATTTTAAAAATATATGACATGTCTACACTGGCAGTGATATTAACTCATACAGAACAACTAAATGCTGAAACTTTCATATACGTGTATTATTCAAGGGTTGTATTTAAAAAAATGAAAACAGTCAGTACTATTCTATGTAACTGATAGAAACATTTTGGAGTAAGTAGAAGCTTCGACAATGAAACTGCTTTCTAAACACATATTGTATCTGCCATATCTAAACTGATGCAGACATCTTAATAATAATAATAAATGGCATATATTTTACCTGGCGGGTTACATCAGCAAAAGCTGTTTTTCAGAAACAACCAAGGCAAAAAAATACAAGTATATACAGGTAAAGAAAAATACATCGAGAAGATAATAAGAAAATTTAAAGCAAGAACATTTTTTTACAGAATCGTAGCCTATGCATGGAATAATGACCAAAAGAGAAACGTGCATCAAGAGAGTGCGTAGCAGAATCAAAAACCATGCTTAGAAATAACTAATAAAAATTAAGAGCAAACAGCACACAGACAAAACGCAAACAAATGAAAAGAGGCAAGTGAGTAAACATGCACAAACAAATATAATAATAAATATAATAATAAAATTACATGAAAATACATGATTTTTCAAATAAATAGGCATTTTATTCATAAAAATACTGTGGATCACTGATAATAGATGCAGAATCCACCTTTGTCACATAATCTATTGAATATTTTTAATTTGATCAGATACCCTCTCCTGCCTTTGAAATGAATCTTATGCAGCTGTTTTGCACTTTTTGAAGTCTGTATGCCTCGCTTTCTATTAGACATGGCCCATAGACAAGGTTCCCGTATTCAAGTTTACTGACGATAAGGAGGTCACGCACTTAACCTTATTCTGCTTGGACAATACATTTTTATAGCTATAAATTGATTTCAACTTTCATCATCAAATGTGGTACTCAAGTTGCGAACCGATGTCTTGCGGCAAAGCTCATCATCTCCAATACACAGATTTATTGATTTACTATTGAATTTGCGGAATTTAGTTTCAATAGTTAAGATAGCTGACTTTCGAGGGTTAATACATAAGCCATGTTTGTTATACCAAATACGTATACTATTTAAATTCTCAGACAGCATCTCATTCGCGGTGGTGTACATAGCAGGGATATAAGATAAGTAAATCTGTGAATCATCGGCGTAGGTATGTATTTTGCAGTATTTAGTAACTGGATCTAAGTCCGCTACATATAGGAAAACAGAATAGTTCAAGAATATACTCTTGACGTAGTACCCTCCTCTGATAGTTGCCACCGGTTTTTACCTTCTGAGTGCGTTCATGAAAATAACTGCGAAACCATTTAGTCGAACTATCGTAGAAACCAAATAATGAAATTTTGAAAAAAGTAGTTCGCGGTTAAGGCAATCAAATGAATTCCTTAGATCCAGCATGACAGCAGTAGTAACTTTAGAATTAGCTATTGCCCTTACGAAGTCGCAGAGTTACTACGATGCAGTGGTTTTTTCAAGAGCCTAACTGCGTAGGCAAAATTATCTTTAAGGTAGTGACGTGTTACATCAATTGCTCATATACAATTTTCTCTAATACTTTTGATAACACTGGAGGGATACTAATTGGTCTGCTATAATCACCAGGCCCTTCTGGAGCATCAATTTTAGCAAAAGGCTTAACGCATGCGCCTTTCCAAATTTTAGAGACTAACCCATTTTCAAGCGAATGGTTAATTATTTGAGTAATCGCTTTTAGAACAAAAAGAAAACACTATTTGCATTGCATTTAGATGCTATTAATCTGGGGCTGAGGTATCATGTAGAGTGATTTCGCGAGGCCGGTACAACACTTTCTGTGCTCGATAGATGAGCACATTATCTGGGTGTCCTTTAAACACGCTTCTCAAAAACTCAAAAACTGGATAAACGGATAAACTGTCATTCTCAAAGACAACTATGAAGATATTAGTTTTTATTGAAATAACTTAGCTTTGGCAAAGTCAGTGTATGGCATATTATGCCTTCTTGAAATCGGAATCAAAAACTCTATCCACCTGTGAAGTTGGTTATGAGAACAAGATAAGAACCATCAGATTGAAATTTTTATTACATCATCTTGCAGATGTAATGTACTTTTTTCTTTTGAAATCACATCTCAAACAAAGTCAGTATTGAAAACGATTTTGGAAAAAATTCGGTTTCTTTCGTCTATCTC